AAGCTACTCTTCAATTCCCAGACCTTGCGAAGCACTTGATTACAACTTCAAGAGAAACCCAGACAGACAGAGAATCAGAATGATCTAGCAAAAGCACTTCTGGTTCTTGACCCTCTGAAACTTGGGTAAGAAAATAAATGTTTACTGTTTAAGGCTGCAAAATTTGTGGGAATTTATTAAGCAGCAATAGAGAATTAATACATGAAATCAAGGCTATTGATCACAGTGAATCTCTATTTTTTTTCAATAGAAAAAAAAGAATTCAATGAAAGCAATGTAGCAGCTATTCTAGTTTGTAATATTTAAGTTCATTTTTTACTATTAAACATAGGTCTTATGATAATTTTGTTAAATTATAACATGCAAAGTATATGAACTTTTAAAGTGGAATCATGTCAAAAAACTATTGTAAATATGTAATAATATATAACTACAAATGGAAGATAAGAAGTTGGGTGGTAAGATGGTTAGATTCACTAGATAATTTCATTATAGCAACATCAAGATAACTGGCATTTTGTCACTGAATAGAAGAATGCTGTAATTCTTTCTCTAATGAGAAAAGAAGAAAAATTTTCCTTGAATGCATTGATATATATAGCAATTGGGTAAGCTTTGCCTATTTGCATATATGAATACAAATATTTGTATATACACATATACATACATAGAAGTTTGTTAATTCCATGAAATGCTGGCTCTAACAATGCCAGCATTTTGACTGTACTTGTTTACACCAGGTAAAATGTTTTCTTCTCTTGTGTCAGAATGTAAGCAGATGACTGACTACAAAGTATTAATGCAAGTGCAATGGACATGTGGGTGGATGGGAATATTCAGTGAGGACCGTCTTCATCTAGGTGTTCTCGGGACAGCACTGACAGTTATTCCTTTGCCCGAGGCGAGGCTTCTACCAGATGGAACCATTCAGTTTCTGGCAAGATGCTGACAGGTGTCAATCTCAGGGAAGAGATTGTATGTATACAGACTATCATCTACTCCAATGTTCCCAAAAGGTGATTTCAGTCACTGTTCTTTTTAAGTAAAGGTGACAGAAGCAATGACCTGAGTTCATTACTTGCTATTCTTACCTCCAAAGTATGATTCACATGGTAAATGAACTACTCCTACTCAAAAGCTAACACAGTCTATCCAGGCTCAAAATTTTGGTTGGGATAGTGAGAAGATGAAAAAACAAAAATCTAAATAGGAAGGCATAAAGTGGATTCTTGCTTATTTGGACATTACTTATTTAGCAACCCACCTGAATGCAGCTAAGAGCTGAGATGAAACCCTCATGGAGATGGCAGTGAGGAGGGGGTGAAGAGGCCTAACCTTGGCTCAACGTGTATGATCTGAGTCAGGTGTCATGATACACTCTTTACATACATAAACTCATTCATTCTGTGAGGAATTTACTCTATGAAGGACTAACAGTCTTTGCATTTTATAAATGAAGACATTAAAGCCCAGAGAGATTAAGCACATACGCCGAGGTTGTTCAGCAATCCTATGCAGCCACCAGCATTTGAACCCAACTTGCTGCAAACCCAGAGCCCAGGGTCTTCTCTTCCCTACACCAGATGGCCTTCCTCAGACAAATGCACCAGCATGGGAACTTACACGTCTGGTTCACATACAGTCCCCTGCAGACTCACACTTCGGGACTCGTGGTGGTTTAGTCACCAAGCTGTGTCACACTCTGGTGGTTCCATGGATGGCAGCCCACCAGGATCCTCTGTCCATGAGATTATCCTGGCAAAAATACTGGAGAGGGTTGCCATTTCCTCCTCCAGGGGATCTTCCTGACCCAGGGATCAAGCTCAGGTCTCCTGCATTGCAAGTGTATTCTTTTATACCTTCGGCACTCAAGAACTATTTACAAGCAATTCAAATTAGTCTGATTATTTGGCATCCTGTCTTCCTCAAATAAGAAACTCCTGGGGAAGACGGTAAAGTGTGTAGAGGATAAAAAAGGGGAATGGAGATAAGGAGATGGCCAGGCATGCTGAGAGCATGGAGAGATGACAGTTGTGTCTCTATTCTAGCTTATACTGCTCAATATTCCCCTGCAGAACTCACTGAATTGTGTATAAGATTGATGTTCATAATGATATTGTTCACTGGCCTTGGTATAAGAAGGTAGGGAAGCATGCAGTACTTTTAGAATAAGACATCCATTAAGAATAATTAAACTAAAATAAATGTTGGTGCTGGATGGTAAGCACCCCATTCCTCCATGAGACAAGTATAGAATTCTAACTTAATCAAGATCTGTTTAAAAAATTTTTCTGGTCACATGTAAACATACGATGTTAAAATAGGGAGATGGAGAGGTGCAGCAATGGGCATGTGTTTTGGGGGGATGGCTTGGACTCAGACAACCCTGGATCTGTATCTTGACTCTGAAATTTTACTACTGCATGACCTGGACAAGTTAAGCCTCTTTTCCAGTTTCTCCAATTGCAACAGAGAGACAAGGATACCCACCACTATCCTTTAAAAAATCTTATCTCTTTTCTGCTTTTGGTAGGAGCTAAGATTAAGGTCAGGGAGGAGAACTCCCTAAGGAATGTGTTTCCTATGACTGGAGTGGACTACACAAATGCAGTGTCTCTTTCTATTTCTTCACAGAGACTGAGATAGATCTCAAGGCAGTCAAAGGGCTTGCTTACTTCTCTTTCCTCCTCTCCTTGGATGCTATTCTCCTTTGTAGCAGAAGCCCAGCCTGAGGCTACTGTTGCAGCCCACAAAGGACAGTGGCTTAAACCTCTGGGTCCCAGGCGATGGGGCGTCCTCACTCTCACCCTCACGTCTCTCCCTCCCTTTCCTTGGTGGTGGGTAGTGGTGCCCTTAGCATCCTTCCCTCCCAGGGCACTGCGTAGGCTCTGACACAGCTCTGTGTCTGGATACTGACAGGTGGCTAAGGCTCAGCTGGGGTGAAGGAGTTCCCCACTGCGTCCAGACTCCTTTACCGACATTTTTCAAAGGTCTCTGAATTAAGAACCCTGGTTTACAGTGAAGGTTAGTTTGCCTTTCTTTGATGGAGTACTTTTGGGGATCTTCTAGGAGACAGGCATGGTTGACAGCAGGATGCAGCTCACCACCATCATATCATCCTATTAAGAGCTGAGCAATGCCCACTTTCCACACTGTTAGGAAGATTACTTGATATAATGCATTAAAAAAAACACCTAACAGATGCCTAGTTGCTGAGCATCATCCCCCATCCCTACACTTTTTCCCATATGCATCACAAAGTGAACGTAAGAAAGAAAAGTGAAGTGAAACTTGCTCAGTCAACTCTTTGTGACCCCATGGACATTCTCCAGGCCAGAATACCGGAGTGGGTAGACTTTCCTTTCCCTTCTCCAGGGGATCTTTCCGACCCAGGAATCAAGCCGGAGTCTCCTGCATTGCAGGCGGATTCAAATTTGAATGTGGTTTTTCATTTTCTTGCCATCCCTACACAATACTGATTCAAGTCATTCAGGAAATAAACATATTTAAAACAGCATATTGAAGAAAAATGTTCCTTCTGGAAGAATTACGATTTGAGAAGTGACCCTAAATGTAACCTGTACATGGAATTCCTGAGTTCTTTGCTCCAAAAGTCCCTTTCTCCTTCATATGTTATAAGCTACACCTTTGCTTTGTTAACTACTTTTTGCTAGAGACCAAAAGAAAAATAAATCAAGAAAATACTTTGCCAGGTTTACCCCTAGCTTTTCCTTAATTTTTGTTTTTAAAATATGAAGCTTTTGAATTTTTAAATGTTTTAAATGTCATACAATTTTTCCTGTTCTTTTTTCCACCATGATGTTTTCTCCATATTGTAAATTAATGACGACTATCTTACTAGGCATCTATTGTGTTCAAAATTTTATGGTAGGTGCTTAACATTTAACAACTCTACAAAGCAGGTAAAATCCCCCTTATTTTTTGATGAGAAAACTGAGATGAAGAGAGATGTGGGAATCTGTGTAAAATCACAAAACTTAAAAATTCAAAATGTGGATATTGCTTAGAAAAATACTTCTACATTTGAAAGAGCAGCAAGGACACATCTCTTTTTTCCTCCCCACGTGCATATCAAGGATCATTTGCTTAAGATAAGGCCGTGTAAGAAGGTCTCTTGAGATCTGCAGACTCTGTTGGGAGCCGCTTTGTGTTCTCCTAACTCCAACTCTGACATGAGAAGAGCTACCCAGAACACAGTGGAAGTACAGCTGGAAAACGCATTTCTGTCAAGATGTTAAAAGAAAGGTCTCTCTCAGTGACAGTCTAGTACAGCAGAAAGAATCCTGGTGGCAGAAGACTTGGATTCTCTCCTGGTTTGGTGATGTAGTTAGCTGTGGAGTTTTGGGCAACTTCTCTAGTTACTTATTTTCTTCTTCTCTAAATGAAGGATGTTCTGAGACTCCACTGAGATGGGATCTGTTCTTACACTGTCTCATTTATCTATTCAGTTATATATTGAATGTTTTTCTTCCCTATTAAGTAAATTCCCTAATATCAGAGAAACAGCCTATATACTTCACTACAGTATGGAATATTGCCTGCCACACAGCAAATGCTCAAAGAATCTTTGTAGAATGAATGAACTGTGTATACTGTAAAGCATGAAAAATGTGGATTATTATTAGTATTATTGTTAATAAATTTTAAGACACAAAACAGATTTTTTCAATAGATATTAACTTTGCATAAATATTAATACTTTTAGCCAGAAATGAATTCAGGCAGCCAACATTTGGGTTTAAGTGACAGTCTTGTTCCAATTTTTTGATGTTTCCCTTGAATTGATTAGGAGGTTTTCTCCTCCCTAAATGATATTAACATTTAAATCACATGAGATGAAAATGGTGAAGTTTCATTTCTTGTTACTAATTTTTGTAACCTCCAAGAGGGTTTCTTGGTTTTACTGATTATTCTGCAACTTCCAGGTTCTCCCCAGATGTGAAGAAAACTGCTTACTTGGTTGGGATGCTTGTACTTACTTGATGAAGTACTTGATTCCATCTGCTGTGTAAGCTTCCTCCCACCCGTAAGGTAGACCTACAGTGAAAGGAAACCAAAAATACATTTAATAAGATGATAAAGATAACTTACTTCCTGGGCACAAAATTCCCACAGCTTTACAATTATTTGAGTATGTTTCTTGTATAAAATAATTGTCTAGAAAGGAGGAATTAAAACAATTCAGATGAGCTTTCATATTCAGCATCTTAGAACACAATAAACAAGTCTTCAGTTAACAATCTGCTTTAGTTGATTAAATGGATTATGACTTCTCATTTACATGTGGTGAGCATTTTTGTCAGCAGGATTCACGCAAAAACTTGTGGTACAGCGGATGATTTTTGCCTGGAGGCAGAAGGATGGACAAGATGGCCTCTGCTTATCTATTTGGGCTCAAAGTTTCTTTAATTGGCTCCCTTTGCATTCATTCTTCCACTCAGTTCTACAGGGAATTGCTATATGAGTGCCAGATCAGCAGGGGTTTGCAAGTAGCTCTTGCACAAGACAAAATACCTTATGAAATCTGAAAGCTTAGCAAAGTGATTTACCTTGGATTGTGGTATTTTATTTCATTAATTAAGAATTTTGTGCACTAAACATAAATGGCCAAATAATTTGCTAAACTTAGCTTCCATTTCTGTAATGGGGTTGAGAATAATTAGTCAGATGTAAAGAAATGCAGACTGAAGTAAGCAAGCAATTATTTGACCATATTTCTGTAAATGAGTACATTTTTATCCTCATCATGCCAACAGAACAGGTTCAGGTTGAGGCAGCCCATTCTCTTATATTCCAGTTATGGGTAGTATGGCCTTCCCCGGAGCCACACTAAAGGTAAAGAATCTGTCTGCCAATATAAAAGGTGCAAGAGACATTTGATTTCTTTCTGGGTCGGGAAGATCCCCAGGAGAAGGAAATGGCAACCCGCTCCAGTATTCTTGCCTGGAAAATTTTACGGACACAGGAGCCTGTGGGCTACAGTCCATGGGGTTGCAAAGAGTTTACTGCTCATAGATGGGTGGTACTCCTTTAGAACACAGGGTTTCCATCCTTGGCTCCACCTCTGAGTACTATTAAGGATTGTAATTGACCTTTTGGATCAGTCTTTGGTACTGACTTATCAAGTCTCCTTTGAAGGGTATATGCTATATTAACACACCAAAGAACAGACTCATGGCACAGGTAGCTTACTTCTTTAGAAAGTAATTAAGCTATAACAACAAACCATTGACTTCACTTTCAAAGTCTCAGCAAGCAGCAGAGCAAAAATCAGGAAGAGCAACTATGAATGAAATAAAACCTTACTCGATCACCATTTACTTTGCATTCTTTGAGAACAGCTCTAAGTATGTTGTTTTTATAATTAAGAAAAATAGAACAAGCTTTATTTTATATTTACCTCCAATCTTTTAACACAAGTTGCATAAAATAAGACCTTGGCCCAAAATTCTATAATTATTTTCTCTGCAGATTAGCACAGGCCACCTAGGAGTTTCTTTTACTTATTAATAAATAAATGTTTCTATTTTAAGCAGAAAATAAGCATTTCTGGGGGCTCATCATAAGCAGATGACTGGTTTCTTAAAAGCCGCTGAAGTGACACTGTATACATCTCTGCTAGTATTCATGGCCAGCACTCATTTAGTCAGACAGGCCGTGATCAACCGTTGCTGCTGTTCCAGTTCATATAGATTTATCTTCTCTACGCTTTCTGCATCTTTGTTACGGATCACTTCATTCTTCACTGACAAGTCTCTCACTTGAAGGGAAGAATCTGATGACTATACACAAAAACCATGCTTCTATGACAAAAATGTTCAGAAATGCCAGGAATGCTAATCAATAAGGCAAAGACATGCTAAAAGTAGAAAGTCATTCTAATGTGACTAAGATTTTTCTTTAAATGACTTGTCTGTCAAGTGCAGTTACAGTCATATTTCTAATCTTAATTCACAGGCCTTTTTTTTTTAACAAGGAGAAAAAATATGCGTACTTTAAAGACAGTATCTTTTAATCCATAGGATCCTTTGAAACTTGAGATTGACTTTGGGATACCACATCCCCATGCCATATAAATAGAGTATCTGCCTGATTCTTTTCTTACAATTATTACAAGGACTATAACTTCACAACAGATTTATTAAAGGTACCAATTCATACCTATATAAGTCAAAATGATTATTCAATGACTGTAGCCCTCAAGATATTTTTGTGAATGAAATAATATTTTAGAATAAATTATCTGTTCTGAAAAAACAGCATTTCTTTTTAGAAGACAGGGTGGTTTCTTCTTTTTCATGCACGTAATACAGTCTGAAAAAACAGACTTGGGGATTAAAGCGCTAGTGGCTATCTTTCAGTGAGAGTTCATTGATGGAAAACACAATCACTGTCCATTTATAAATTGAAATCCACAATATACTGATAAACCAAATATCCTACTTTATAGAGAAAGGATATTTGATTTCTACAAGCTTGTATAACTATGATGGATTCAATTTTCCCATAGTAAAGGTTTTCATTACTTCATAGTGAGTGATTTGGGTATAAATAAAACATATTATCTAAATACTTTTTGATAATTGTTATACTAGAAATAGACCCAAGGCATTAACATTTTTCTACATTCCCCACATCTTTATACTCGCAAATATATAATGCTCTTATTTTCCTTTTCTTTTCATATTTGCTTTAGAACTGTTATGACAACTATTGTTTCTGACTGCAAGTATTTGTTTATGAACCCTCACATAACATTCTTTCCATCAGAGATCATTTGTTCCAGCGTACTCTTCATGAGTACTTTGCCAAAGTAGGAGTCTCCTGCAAATTCAACTTAGAATACTGGCTGTCACCTAACACTCCATGTATCCAAAACCAAACTCCTCACAGGCCCATACAAAATAGCTCCCTTCCATTTCCCCAGTCTACTTATGTATTAAAGTTCTCTTTGTCATATTTGGCCCATTCATTAAATATTTATTGATCATTTTTTGTAATTGATTATTTTTATGTGTTCAGCATTTTACTTGGTGTTTGATAGATAATGAATAACAAATAAACTTGGACCTTGGTCTTATGGAACATTAAAAAAGTAATCATAAATAAAGACATCATCAAAAATAGGAATAAGTACGAGGAAAGAAAAGTACTGGATACTCTGAAAGAGTAATTCATAGCACAGACAAAAGTTTAACTCCTTAACATATAAATAACTTCTATAAATTAGTAAAAGAAAGGAAATGACAAATAGGAGTCTGTAGAACATTCAGGACACAAAAGTACTTAAAATATGAAAATAAGCTTAATTTCACTCTTCACAAGAAAAATACAAATTAAACTATCATGAGAGGCCATATTCATCATGTTAGTGAAGGGTAAAAAGTAGTTTAATAAGACATTGTGTTGAGGGTATGAAGAGGCAATATTCTCATATTGACGGGAGTATAAATATGATAACATATGTATGGGAGAACCGTGTCAAGATCTACCTAAACTTTTAAATGCCAATAACAACAGTTCACAATGATGGAGTGGCCGTATGTTGGACACTTGTTACACATGTACTGACTTTCTCATATCTCACAATTTTAATGGTACTGTTATCACCCTCATTTTACAAATGAGGAAACAGGCATGGACAGCTTCCATCACCTGCCCAAGTTACATTGGCAGACAGTAGGGCCCAAACCCTTAACCACTTAGGCTGAAAAGTGTTAGCTGCTCAGTCGTGTCTGACTCTTTGTGACCCCACAGACTGCAGCCCATCAGATTCTTCTGTCCATGGGATTCTCCAGGCAATAATACAGGAGTGGGCTGTCACTGTGAATAGCGAATTCACATAGTGAATCTAGGGGATCTTCCTGACCCAGGAATTGGAGAAGGAAATGGCAGCCCACTCCAGTACTCTTGCCTGGGAAATGCCATGGACGGAGGAGCCTGGTAGGCTATAGTCCATGGGGTTGCAAAGAGTCAGACACGACTGAGCGACTTCACTTCACTTCTCCCGCATTGTAGGCAGATTCTTTACCATCTGAGCCACCAGGGAAAGCCTGGAACTGGCTCCATATGATCCAGCAGTTCTTTAAGAATTTATCTTACAGATAACCTTTATGTACAAGACAATTAATTATAAAAATAAAAGACTGAAAATCTAAATAACCACCCTTGGGGACTGATTAAAGACAATATGTTAGATACGGGGATACTGTCCAGCTGTGAGGAAGACTGCCTGGAATTGCTGGAGTCACATGGGTACAGATGTGGGCAAGAACGCTCTAGGCTGCGGAGTGACAGCAAGTGCAAAGGCTCTGGGAGGGGGACGAGCTCGGTCTGCGGGACTGAGAGAGCACTGTTACTGGAGGGTGGTGAGCGAGGGCGAAGAGGAGCGATGGGAGACTGTGTGGGGAGACAGGCAGATAGGACCTTGCAGGGTTTGCAGGCCATATTAAAACTGTTTGAAAGTTTCTTAAAAGGGAAGCAGGAGATCTGCTGCTGCTTAAGACGAGGAAAGCTGCAAGACACTGTTGTTCTGACCCTACATGGGGAAAGCTGCACAGCTCAGAGACTGGTTCCTCACTGAGTGACCCTCAGCTGACCTGAATTCCAAAGGGTGATAAGTCCCTGTGAGAGAAGATGGGCCATGTGAACTCGTTCTCTCTTGGCAGAGCACAGGAAAAAGTGCTGCCATTAAAGGAGGCAAGAAGAAGACAGCTAAAACTGTAATCAACCTGTAAAGCCTGCCTATGGCTAGCAAGGTAGTTTGGTGTCCCCAGAGCCCTAGATACAACAGAGCCTTCTTTCTCTCATGAGAAGGATTGAGGGTGGGCAGGAGACTGGACAGAGTCCCTGGGTGGTGCGGGTGTACACAGGACCCGTGCAGGTTCCAGGGTGCAGCAGGCGTATCATCCACGCCCTGGATCCTTCTCTGACATGAAGTAATAGCTGCGGCAGCTGGAGAAGCAAGGGCCACTCCAACTCCCACACCGTGCACAGGACTTTGTGTGACACAAGGCTGCTCATCTGTTCCTGGGGCC